GATAGATAGATAGATAGATAGATAGATAGATAGATAGATAGATAGATAGATAGAGGTTATATATAAAGATGATCAAATTAACAACAGATACAGTGCTCACCCTTAGAATTAACAAGATATTGAAGTGGTGGATAGCTTCTTCATTTTAGGATCAACTATCATCAGTAAAGGAACTAGCAGTCAAAAAATACAGTACTCAGATGCCAGGATGTATCTATACTTATGAAGATCAGAATCATGCAGGCAATGGTATTCCCCGTGACACTCTATGGTAGTGAAAGTTGGACTTTGAAGAAGTAGGATAGAAAGAATATTGATGCTTTTGATATTTGGTGTTGGAGAAGACTCCTAAGAATACCATGATAGCCAGGAAAACAACAAATAGATCATCAAACAATTCAGTCCAGGCACAAATTACCAGGGTCAAATTATCATACTTCGGACACATTATGCAAAGATCTAGCTCTCTGGAGAAGTCTGTAATGCTGGGAAGGGTGGAAGGAAAGAGAAAAATAAAACAATTAGCAGCAAGGTGGATGGACTGAATTACAGCAATGATGGGTACACTGCTGGAAAACCTGAAGGACCCAGTTGGGGACAGATCCTCCTGGAGAAAATCTGTGTGGTCACTAAGAGTCAGCACCAACTTAATGACACATGATCAATATGTGTATACCACTGAATCAGACCAACTCACAATGGTTTATAAGCAGATGAAACCAAAATACAATCAAATTGCAAAAGTAAAACAATAAAAAAAATAATGATGGGCACCAGACTCAATGAACTTATCAGTAATTATACTTCAAAGGCCCTATGGAAAAGTTTGATTTTGATGGCCTTTTGGAATTATGCTAAGATGAGGCCAACTGGGCCTCTTGGGAGAGGTTGTTCCCCAAAGTACTCTCTGAATGTCTCCCGTTCAAGTATTGACCCAGTTTAGCTTCAGAGCCCATACAGAATTTACCAATGGTGCCACCTTCACAGATTATGTTGATAAAATCTTAGCACAATTTCACCAAGTTTAGATTCATCTACATTTGTATAGCTTTGCGTAGTATTTAGCAGCAAATTGTTGATAGCTAACAACCTGGCACATAAATGTCTGATATAGGTATATTATGAGAAAATGTATATTCAGAAAATCCTTGAGTTTGATCCTTAATTAACATTTTATTTCTATAAAACACATAAACAATATACTGCCACTTATTCGGGATGTGCAAAAGTTGCCAATCCTGGAATAGAATATTGTGGAAAACCCAGAAACATTCCATTTTTGTCCAGAGCATGCTGAACTTCCTCCTGGACTGTGCCATTCTAGCATCTGCGTCTGGTTTGGAGGATTTATTTATGAAAACTGATGAACCTCCCATGGAATGGTATAGCCCAAGAGGAGGTTTGGCATGCTCTGAGCGAATGGGAACATTCCAGTCTTCTCTGGAACATTCCGTTCCCAGATCAATGAATTTTGCACTGCTTAGTGTCTAGAAAGTGCCATTACCATGATATCTTACCAAGTGTATTACCAATCCATATTAATAGTTACTGTTAGAAAATAGTAGTTAGAGACAGAAATAAGTTCTACTATTTCTAATGCTAAATGCATTCATTCATTCATTCATGCAGAAGTATTTAGCTGGATCTTTTAAAGTAAGCACAATAATATTTAAGCTTAATTGCAGAAGCAGTTCCATTATTTACTGGTTAACTGTGTAACCAGGAGATGCAGAATTTAAGGCAATAATCATTTATATAACTGCATGTACTTATTTACTTCTGAGACTTACTTTTGAGCTGATAAATGTATAAAAGCTTTTTATATGAAGTCTGAATTCTCACACTGCATTAAGACATTGTGGTTTGAAAATAGAGGTTTATAGTTTAGCATTCTTGTTTGAGCAAACGTTGCTTACCCCAATGTGTGAACCTAGCCAGTCCTGTGAATACCCTTTAAACTTTTAGTCTTTATTTATAATGAAAATCTCAGAAGGATTTTTTTCCCCTGATTAACGGACATTAGACAGGAAGAAG